TCCACAGCTTCTCACCCTCCTTCTTCCCTCTTCATCCCAGATCGCAGCTCAGATCTGCAGGCAGGCCGGGCTGGTGAAGAAATCGAAAGACGCCATGGATTACCACGAGGATAACTTTGCCATCGTCTTCGCCGCCATGGGGGTAAGTCACCGGTTCTGGGAGCCGGGCAGGTGTCGGGCGGGAGGCCTCTCGTCCCCCAACCCATCCCAAAGGGCCCCGGAAGGAGACCCCTCTTCCTGGGTGCTGGACCACCCCCCTGGCCAGAGACAGCGGGACCACCCGGGGCTCCCCACCGAAGGATCTTCAGCTGGGACCTCCCTTCAAAGTGCGCCCTGAGTCCCACTTCTAACCTTACAGGCGGTCCTCGTTTTACGACCGCAACGGAGCCCCAAATTTCCGCTGCTAAGGGAGACATTTGTTAAGCGAGACGTTTTGCCCCGTTTGACGACCTTTCTCGCCACTCTTGTTAAGCGAATCACGGCAGGTCTTAAGTTAGTGACCCGGTCGTTAAGTGAATCCGGCTTCCCCCCCCCTTGGCTTTGCTTGTCAGAGGGTCGCAAAAAGGGATCACGTTGACCCCCGGGACATTGCGACCGTCATAAAATACGAGTCGGTTGCCCAGCGTCTGAATTTTGATCGCGTGACGCTGGGGGAGGGGATGCTGAAAAGGTCGTAAGTGTGAAAAACGGCCCTCAGGCACTTTTTTCAGTGCTGTAACTTCAGACGGCCAGTAAACGAACTGTCGTAAGTCGAGGACTGTCTGTACAGCCTGTTCCCAGGCAGGACTAGCAGTGGGGCCGTCTCCTTGTTTGATCTCATCCCTTCTTCTTCTTCTTCTTCTTCTTCTTCTTCTTCTTCTTCTTCTTCTTCTTCTTCTTCTTCTTCTTCTTCTTCTTCTTCTTCTTCTCCCCCTCCTCCTCCTCCTCCTCCTCCTCCTCCTCCTCCTCTTCTTCTTCTTCTTCTTCTTCTTCTTCTTCTTCTTCTTCTTCTTCTTCTTCTTCTTCTTCTTCCCCCCCCTCCTCTTCCTCCTCCTCCTCTTCCTCCTCCTCCTCCTTGTTCAGCTGCTAAGTTGCGTCCGACTCCTCATGACTCCACGTTCTGGCCAAGCTTTTACTCAGCCTCTCCTCTGTTCTCCACCTGCTGGGTGGGGAATTCTGGGAGTTGAAGTCCACAAACCTGCCAAGTTTAGAGATCTGTGGTCTTTTGACAACCAAGTCATTTATGCGCTCCCTTCAGCGGTGAGCCCCCCCCCCCGATTCGAAGCTAAAAATACCCTTTGCAAAGGAAGAGTAGCTACGGACCCTCTCTGTTCCCCGGGAATTTTACTCCTCTTTGAGTCTGAGAGTAACCTGGCGTGGAGACGTAGCTTCAGAGCATCAACCAGCCATCCTTGAAGTGAGAGAAAGTCTGGGCGCATTAGTGTTACTTTGGCACAACGGTGGCTGGATGACGCCTGTGGACATTATTGTACAATCGCACGTCCAGGAATAGCCTCGGCCTTGGAAGCTGTTGGTGCAACTTCTGCCCCCCCCCCAGTTGCTCTCCGCTGTGGCTTACGGCACCCACAGATGTTCTGATTGGAGGAGAGGCAGCAGGCATCCCCGGGCAGATGTTGGAGGCTGCTGTTCCCAACTCAGGGAAAGAATTCCACAGTAAACAGCTGCCTAATCAAGACTGGAACAGCTACCAGTGCTGCAAGCACTTGTGTATAAACAGAGAGCAAACCCTACTCCCTTCTAGCAACCCTTCTCCTCCTCCCCCATTCCCTTCTAGCACTGATGGTGTTACCTAGTTGGGTCATGAAATGTCTGCAAGAAAAAAACTAAGCTTAGAGAGCACCAAGGATCCCCAGTCCTCCTCCTCCTCCTCCTCCTCTTCCTCCTCCTCCTCCTCTCTGCACACTCCACTCTCTTCTAGCACTGATGATGTTACCTAGTTGGGTCATGAAACGTCTGCAAGAAAAAAAAATTAAGCTCAGAGAGCACCAAGGAATCCACAGTCCTCTTTCTGTCCTCATCCTCTTCCGCTCCTCCTCCGCCGCCTCCTCTTTCCCCCATTCTCTTCTAGCCCTGATGATGTTACCTAGTTGGGTTATGAAATGTCTGCAAGAAAATAGAAATAGAATAGGAATAGGAATAGAAAATGGATGGGATGGGATGGGATGGGATGGGATGGGATGGGATAGGATAGGATAGGATAGGATAGGAGAGGAGAGGAGAGGAGAGGAGAGGAGAGAAGAGAAGAGAAGAGAAGAGAAGAGAAGAGAAGAATTCTTCACTGTTAAGACCTTGACTTCAGAAATGGAGGAAATAATTTCCATCTCACTAGGTTTTCTGCGCAATAATTCACACAACCCTTGTTTTTAATTCCTCAGCAAGATCTTTTTTCTTATCATGCCCTCAAGTGGACAAATTTATATAAGAACGAAACCTGAAAAAGGCTGGTTTAACTTCCTACTGGGGTCTTACGTATCCCCCATACATACACACACACACACAGGACCTGAAAATGCATTCACTTTTAAAAAGGGGGGAAAAAACCCCTTTTCCTGAGTTTTCAATGCATTTTCCAAAAGCAGCCGTTGCATATTGTTAAAGGAATCCTCAAAAAACCCTCTATTTCTATTATTTCTATTTCTATTTCTATTTCTATTTCTATTTCTATTTCTATTTCTATTTCTATTTCTATTTCTATTTCTATTTCTATTTCTATTTCTATTTCTATTTCTATTTCTATTTCTATTATTTCTATTTCTATTTCTATTTCTATTTCTATTATTTCCATTTTGTGACTCATTGCAAATAAGCAGATTACCCCCCCCCCCCTAAAATGTACATTTCTTGATTATAGATATTTAGAATTTGGGGAACTTTAGCCAGGTTTCCCCTTATTTTGGTCTTGGAAAAAGTAGCCGGGCAAGAATTTAGAGCTGGCCTTGGGGAAGGCATGAAAGAGCCGATAGGGAGGGTGAAAACTTTGCACAGTCTGCCGAAGGAAGGAAGCATGGGAAAGAAACAGAAAATAAATGTGCTTTTGTTTTGTTTAGGGCAACATCAGACCAATACAGTAAAAGCTTAGATGGGCTTTCAAGAGTGATATTCAGTGTAGGCCAGGGGTAGGCAACCTTGGCTCTTTTATGACTCTTGGACTTCAATTCCCAGAATTCCTGATCCAGCCAGCATGGCTGGCTCAGGAATTCTGGGAGTTGAAGTCCACGAGTCATAAAAGAGCCAAGGTTGCCTATCCCTGGTGTAGGCAGATTAAGAAATGAGCAAGGTGGAATTCTAGGAATGTATTTTATTGTTGTTGTTGTATTTTATTTTTCAAGCGTAGCAACTTTAAGATGTGTGGACTTCAACTCCCAGAATTCCCCAGCCAGCAAGGCTGGCTGGGGAATTCTGGGAGTTGAAGTCCACACATCTTAGAGTTGCGAAGATTGGGAAACACTGCAATAAAAAGTTTTCTGGGGAATTCTGGGAGTTGAAGTCCACACATCTTAGAATTGGCAAGGTTGAGAAACACTGCGCTAAAGACTTTCTGGAGAATCAACCTACAATCTTACATCTCTGGCCAAATCTACTTTAAGACGAGAAGCCAGATTCTGATCCAGCAAGAGAAACACACAGCCCACCGATTTAAAAACAACAACCACAATAACAACAACAGAAAATAACACAATTGCTCTTTTTCGTTTCCTTTCTTTTCCTTTTTTTTTTTTTCCCCGTCTTAGTCCACGTTCTTTTTTCTCTTTCTTTTTCCTTTACTTTCTGTATTTTGGTCCTTGACCCTAAGCTGAATCCATGAAAGCTTGAAATGAAAGAACAGGGAACAGGGGCAGATAGTCTTCTTCCAGAAGCGGTGAATGCTTCAACACTGCAGGTTTTTAAAGAAGGGACTGGATAGCCATTTGTCTGAAATGGTATAAGGTTTCCTGCCTGAGCAGGGGGTTGGACTAGATGACCTCCAAGGTCCCTTCCAACTTTCTTCTTCTTCTTCTTCTTCTTCTTCTTCTTTCTTCTTTCTTCTTTCTTCTTGTTATTATTATTATTATTGGAAATGGCTCCATAAGGATCCCCTTCATTGGCAGGTGAACATGGAAACGGCCCGGTTCTTCAAATCGGACTTTGAGGAGAACGGGTCCATGGAGAACGTCTGCCTGTTCCTCAATTTGGCCAACGACCCCACGTGAGTCCATAGCCTGGGTCTGGGGGAGAGGGTGAAGGGAGCCGCAGCACCCCCAGACTCAGGGGCCTGGAGGCTAAAAGATATGAAGAACGGTTGCAGGAATTGGGTATGTCTAGTTCAGGGGTCTTCAAACTTGGCCCTTTTATGACTTGTGGACTTCAACTCCCAGAATTCCACGTGTGTCTGGCTGAGGAATTCTGGGAGTTGAAGTCCACAAGTCATACAAGGGCCAAATTTGAAGACCCCTGATCTATTTTAATGAAGAGAAGGACTAGGTGACCTCCGAGGTCCCTTCCGACTCTGTTATGCTATGATTCTCTAAGGGTCTCCTGCCTGAGCAGGGGGTCGGACTAGATGACCTCCAAGGTCCCTTCTGACTCTGTTATTCTATGATTCTCCAAGGGTCTCCTGCCTGAGCAGGGGGTCGGACTAGATGACCTCCGAGGTCCCTTCCGAGTTTGTTATGCTATGATTCTCTAAGGGTCTCCTGCCTAAGCATGGGGTTGGACTAGATGACCTCCGAGGTCCCTCCTGACTCTGTTATTCCATGATTCTCCTGCAGTATTGAGCGGATCATCACGCCCCGTCTGGCTCTGACCACGGCCGAGTTCCTGGCCTATCAGTGTGAGAAGCACGTTCTGGTGATCCTGACCG